GACCCTTGAGTTGGGAAAAGAAACTACTGTCCCGACACCCGGCTGCTGGTGATATTAAAATGAAAATTATTTTTTAAAAAACAGAAAGTGGAAATTAATGATGAATCAATGCATCATGGTACGTCACTCATTCGTGTTATATTATTTTTGTTGAATTATATATTTTGTTTTACTTTCATATAGGACTTTTGGCCCTTTGAAAGAAAGGGACGTAATTCAGATACTAAGGACCAATTTTATGTTTATGATATTTATTAACTCATAGGAAACGTAAAGGGGACAAAACTATACACTTGCTGAACGTAAAGGCTTAGGAAACGACAACTTCTGAATTCTCAGTTCTGAGTCGTCAAGAAACATCAACTTCTGCAGTCTCAATCATCAAGAATGGTAGGTTGGTTCAAACTTCAAAGTCTATCATGGTTCCTGCTCTATCTTTTTCGATTCAATTCAAGTGTACCAGCCTTATATATATACCTTGATATTAAAAAAAAAATAAGATTTGTAATATAATGAGTTTAAATACATCATTAATAATTCCAAACGTGTAATTTAGTAATAGAAGTTGATTTACATTTAAGTAAGATTAGGAGTTTGAATTCTGTCTTGTGTATGCAGTCGCATAAGCTATTTTACTCTTTAACATAGCGAGGAGATTAGTTACTACTATCAGCAATAGATACTCCAGGAATGAATAAAAAAAATACTTTATCAAGTTTATGAGTTAATCTAATTAAAGAAAATTTGTTTAATATGATAATTTATTTTAAAATTTATTATTTTTTTTGTTAGTTAATTAAAATAGTTTATAATTTATAAGTTCTTAAATTTTTTTCTCCTTCTTTTTTATCATCATCATTGGTTTATTAAAAAGTTATTATTTTTAATTTAAAAATTATTTTTTTATATGTTATTCTTTTACTTTCATTATTAAATAATAACTATGTCAATTTATACCAACCAAATTACTTATTAACTAATTTTATCAAATATTTTTAATTCAATTTGGTAATTTTTCATTTTATAACTTATTAAATTTTAGTAAATTTATAAGTTTTCTGTTAATTTATATAAGTTTTCAATCGATTTATAAATTAATTTTACCAAATACATTATATATGTAACGGATTGACATGTATTTAAAAAAAAACAAATATTTTTAGTCAGACTTTTAACAATGTAAAATTAAATGATAATATATAAACTCACAAAGTTTATACAGAATATTTCAAAGTTAAACTATGTTAATCAATAAGTAAATGATTGAGTGATACTAAATTTAATTTCTTTATGTATAATATCAAATTTGAATATTTTATATGAAAAAAATATAATTAACAAGACAGACTTAATAAAATTATTCGGTTAAATTATTTAATAAAGATTAATTATCAAAGAAATTGATAAATAATTTTTTTCAAATACCATGGTTATTAAAAAAATAAAGAGAAAAAGCAAAAGTGTGATGATGATGTTATATATCCATAAATGTGAGGGTGGTTGTTGAAATGTGGGTTTGGTAATACTGACCCTTCTGATTCCCATGGACCATGTGTTGAACAAATGTTCCTGCCACATTGTTATCTTTTTATCTTAGCTTTCTTATTTTAAAAAAATGTATTTTCTTTCTGACAAATATTTTGTTAAAAAGTAACCTATTATTATATTTTAACATGATTTATCGTGGTCAATTTTTATTTCTCTTTTTATATGACTCAATATTATTAACAATTAGTTTTGAATCTTTTCAATAAACTTTTTCAAAAATTATTTTCTAAGCTCCTTAAATTTTAGATAACCTTGTTTTTAATTTTTAAAATTTAAAATTAATTTTTTAGTTCATGTAATTTTGAAAATAAAAATTGTTTGATTCCTCAAGATCATTTATAGCACTGATGATCACATATTAGGTATATTTAATATGATATTTTTACTAAATCTATATATATATATATAAGATTTTAATATCTTGTATTTTTTTATGATAAATAAAAAATTAAATAATAATCAACTCTATTTATTATTTCAGAATCAATCATAATCATAAATTTTCATTTTATTTTTGTGAATTAAAATGACTTTTGTCGACTCAAGGACAAAAATTTGAAGTTCATAGCTCAATTTTTCCATTGATGAACATAATATTTATTTAACAATTAGAGTCTCGTCTTTTCAATTTGTTAGATAGAGATAAATATTTAGGATTATAATATTTTATATTTTCTCATGATGAATAAAAAACTTATCTCATTTTTACTTTTTAACATCAAGTTCAAACATAATTATAAAGGATTCATATACAATTTTAATCATATAGATTTATCATACAAATTTAACCATCCTTTTTCTAATTTAGGTTCATGAACAAACATTTGAGACTTGTATATCATATTTTTTTCAAATAATGAAAATTTCATTTCTCCAACTTCGGACACACAAATTTATAAAATTTTATATAACAAATTTAATAATAAATGATTTTTTTTACATATTCACTAATGATATTTAAATAAAAAATTTAGTTTTTTTTTAACATTATAGTGACTAAAAGTCTAAAAGTATTATCTTGAGAATTAAAAATAAATTTATCTTAATTTGTGTAAAAAAAATTAAATAAAAAACTTTTTATGTGATGCTTGAAAACATCATTTCATATATTAAACTCAGAATATATGTATATATATGTGTATAATATTAAAAAATGAGCTTATAAAAAAATTAATTAAAAAATGAATAAAGTTATAGAACCGAAAAACAAATCTTAGAATATTCATTTACAATACTTTGTCACTGCTAATAAATTCACTTGCATTAAAATCAATGAAGAGTAACACATTTTTTTTAATGTATAAAGGTGGAAATGATGATTTTTCTTTTCGTAAACAATAATGATTTTTTTACGTACAATGTCTATAATAAAGTTTGATCGTGTCAGTGAGAAATAATAAATACTTTACATAAATAATATAATAATAAAAAAGTATTGATCAAAAGACTTTGAAAAATACCCAAACTCTCTTGCCAGGCTGATAATCATACATTAAATGACATTTAAATACAAAACTTTAGCTAAATTATCCAAATCCACTACTGGTAGGCTATTGTAGTTAGAGTTGGTCCTCACATTTCATGTCATTTATTCAAAACAAAACAAAAAATTAGATTTTGCACCATCCAAACATTAGTTTCGTTTATGATAATTTCCTCTTTGATTATGGTGAAGAGATCCTTGAATGGCAACGATAACAAGCGCTAAGAGAGGAAAAAGATTGTCTTCAACACAACAAGTGTATTCAAGTTTGTTTACATCTCATGGCTCACCTACTTTGGTTTTGCAACAACCTTCTTCTTCTTCTCCATTTTTACCTTCATTGCGTGATAATGATGCGGTACAACTCTATATCATTGATGAATTATTATTTGAGGAGATATAAGATTATTTTACACATAATTCTACAATAATAAAATATAGTTTTATTTTATGATCATCACTCAAAAAATCTTTAATCATTAAAGTATATGTGTGTTTTATAAGTTATTATTTCTTTTCTTATTTTATCTATGCAAAACTTATTTATATTCAACAATCATGTAATCAATAATATAGTGCAACCATTGTTCACATCCCTCTATTTGTGATATTGTTTATTATAAATCTCATTATTTATTTAATCTTAAAAGTTAAGACTTAGATTGAATTCGATTCAAGTTTTAAATCAATTTGATTGCATATGGATTAAGAAATTGAAATGATTGAATATAGTTGGTATTTAAGATATGCGATGCATAGAGTAAAATTTAAAACAAATAGATATTTTAAATACATAACTTATATTTTAAATTTATGATAAATAATTTATATTGTAACACAAAATTATTTTTATTTAATGATAATTTATTAATAAATAATCATGATAAATAAAAATCAAATTAAATATAAAATTTAAATAATTTTTAAAAATCGTTTTGTCAAAAAAATTTCTAAATGCACAAAATAGTCATTTATATTTTATATATAAGGGTTGATGAATAGGACTTTTTTTAAAAAATTATATTCAATTTAATTAATAAATATCTTAAATAAAAAGACAAAAATGGAAGAAATACAAAATTTTTATTTATAAAATTAAAATATTTGATTTTAAAGTAAAATTATTACTAATAAGTTGTTAAATTTAAACGGATAATATTGACATAAGTAATAATAATTTGTATTTCTTAATCAAATTATTTATTATTCAAATTTTAATTTTAGGTATAAAATAAATTATATTTAAAGAAAAATACTCATCATGCATATATTTATGTCTCTAATAGAGATTAGTCATTATTTTGAACAATAAACATTACATATAAATATCATGATTATTAAGAAACAAAAATTGTTAAATTTGAATAAAGTTGAACTTTTCTCTTTTTAAAAAAACACAAAATTAAGAAGACAAAATCTACAAATACTTCATATTTATATAATTATCTACACCACTAATAAATGGATTAACCTATTTGATTTCAAAGTATCTCTCTACCATTGTTGAATAAATACATGTAATCAAAAGTTTATTATTAGTCACTTTTTTTTTACTATTATTTACACGATGTCATAAAATAATGAATAATATGTAACTTTTTCGAACTAAACATTACTTTAACATAAATAAAAATCCAACATGTATCAGATAAAATTTGGGTATCTCTGAACAGAATAATAGGCCTGAGAAGTGAGAGGCAATAATCGAAGGTGTTTGGTTTAATTAAAAAAAGTCCATTTGAGTTGGTTGTTTGGATTTATCCGAAAATGAAAATTGTTTCTCCCACATGCCACCAACCCCAAATACATCATAATCACATTATTTCCAACAACAACAACAACAAAAAATTTAATATTGTAACCTTTCTCTCTCCAAAGTCCACACTGTAGCAGTCTTCTGTGGGCGACAATCTCAACAAGCACTCCCTACAAAACCAACTTCCACAGACCACAATGGACCCATCACTCTCACTCTCTCCCAACCATGCCTTCCTCTCTCTCCCTCTCCCAGCCTGCCCTCCTCCGCCCCGCCGCCCTCCCCTCCTCCGACCGCCCCTCGCTCCGCCTCCCCCTCGCCCTCCGCCATGCCGCCACCCCTCTCTCCCTCGCCCTCCGCCGCCGCCCCGCCTCCGTGCGCGCCTCCGTCTCCGTGAGGACAGTCGAGAAGGCCCCCGCGGAGGCCGCGCTGGTGGAGAAGTCGGTGAACACGATCCGGTTCCTGGCTGTGGACGCCGTGGAGAAGGCCAACTCCGGCCACCCCGGCCTCCCCATGGGGTGCGCGCCGATGGGGCACGTGCTCTACGACGAGGCCATGCGGTACAACCCTAAGAACCCTTTCTGGTTCAACCGCGATCGCTTCGTTCTCTCCGCTGGACACGGATGCATGCTCCAGTACGCGCTGCTCCACCTCGCCGGATACGACAGCGTCAAGGTACGGATTGGAAATGGACGTGGGGTTGCCTGGATCTGTTAAAGTTTGTTGCTTTCGGGGTTTTGCGTTTGTGGGTGGGTGGGGTGTAGCTTTGGTTTTGTGGGTTGGGTGATCACTTGCAGATCTAAGTACGCTAATTTGAAAAAAAAAAGTTTTTTTTTTAATTGGGTTGTGTTTGTTTATGAGTGCGTGATGTTGATCGATGACTGAATTTGTTGTGATGTGGGGGTGGGGGTGGGAGTGAATTTGATTTAAATTTAGGTTGACTGCACTACCAGGTAAAGGATTTTTGGTATTGTCATTCATTCAACCACAAATTGTTGTGTTGTATGAATTTACAGTAACTATGTTGAAAGACATGCTTAGAATAATTTCTGGTTGGTTAAAAGTGTAAGTTCTTTTAAATGGGTTTGTGATTGTTTTTCACTGCTTGGTGTTTTTGATACGTTTGTGAGAAGTTTGATGAGTTTGTGCAAACCTTGATCAAAGACTGAATTGAAGTTGTTGCTTTTTTTGGGGGCGTTGACTTTTTAGCAAGAGGATTTGAAGGAATTTCGCCAATGGGGGAGTAGAACTCCGGGACACCCTGAGAATTTCGAGACACCTGGAATCGAAGTCACAACAGGTTTGATATGAGTTAAGAGCTTGTGTACTAGAATAGTAATTCTTTTTCTTTTTGATGTTTAGTTATTCATCTATTATTGCAAATTTTGTAGGTCCTCTTGGTCAGGGTATTGCCAATGCTGTTGGTTTGGCCCTTGCGGAGAAGCACTTGGCTGCAAGATTTAACAAGCCTGATAACGAGATTATTGACCATTACACGTAAAATAGCCAAATCTTATGCAGCTTGCAAGGCTTTTATTTGTGTGATGTTTTGCTAATGGAGATTATTTTATGCAGATATGTTATATTGGGTGATGGTTGTCAAATGGAGGGAATTGCAAATGAAGCGTGCTCACTTGCTGGCCACTGGGGACTGGGGAAGCTGATAGCATTTTATGATGACAATCACATTTCAATTGATGGTAACACAGAGATTGCGTTCACTGAGAGTGTTGATAGTCGTTTTGAGGGACTTGGGTGGCATGTTATCTGGGTAAAGAATGGAAATAATGGCTATGATGATATTCGTGCTGCCATTAAGGAAGCAAAAGCTGTTAAAGACAGACCCACCCTGATCAAGGTTAGTTTATCAAGGCAACAATATACATAAGTTTCTGGCTTGTAAATTGTAATTATGACTATCATAATCTGTCATGCATTATAGGGATTCTTTTAAACTAGTGTTACAAACATGATTTCCTTTACTATAGAGTGCATTGTATTGTACTATCTCTTTTGAGAAGCTGGATATTATAGGTGTGAAATTGAAGTAGTAAATTATGGGCCCATTTGTTTATCAAGTGCTGCTGGTTAGTCTTTTGCTGATTTTATCCATTTCAGGTCACGACAACCATTGGTTATGGTTCTCCTAACAAGGCTAACTCCTACAGTGTGCATGGAAGTGCATTGGGTGCCAAAGAAGTTGATGCCACAAGACAGAATCTTGGATGGCCATATGAGCCTTTCCATGTGCCTGAGGATGTCAAAAAGTATGGATAATGGGTTTAGAGATTTATCTGTTTCCTGTGACACTGTTGAGGTTTATATGATACTGAATAAAAATTGCTTGCTGTCCCCAGGCATTGGAGTCGCCACATCCCTGAGGGTGCTGCACTTGAAGCTGAGTGGAATGCTAAGTTTGCTGAATATGAAAAGAAATACAAGGAAGAAGCTGCAGAATTGAAGTCTATTATCAATGGTGAATTGCCTGCCGGTTGGGAGAAAGCACTTCCGGTGAGTAATTCTAAACTCATGGGTTGTACTTTATTTGTACACGAATGTAACTTTTTAAGGCTTGGATTATGTACTATCCAATTTTGATCATAAATCTGATGTTCGTGAGCATTATGATTTAATAGCCTTCTATTTATTTTTCTTTTTTCACATATCAGTATAGTTGTATGGGCTTCAAAATGTTATTCCAAATAACAAAACCTAACATCCCATTTGATTTCAGACGTATACACCAGAGAGCCCAGCTGATGCCACCAGAAACCTGTCTCAGCAAAACCTCAACGCCCTTGCAAAGGTTCTTCCTGGTCTTCTTGGTGGTAGTGCTGATCTTGCTTCTTCCAACATGACCTTGCTAAAAATGTCTGGGGACTTCCAAAAGGATACTCCTTCAGAGCGCAATGTCAGATTTGGTGTCAGAGAACACGGTATGGGAGCGATCTGCAATGGCATTGCTCTTCACAGCCCTGGACTCATTCCATATTGCGCAACTTTCTTTGTTTTCACTGACTACATGAGGGGTGCCATACGGCTTTCGGCCCTATCCGAAGCTGGGGTAATTTATGTCATGACCCATGATTCAATAGGACTTGGAGAGGATGGGCCAACCCACCAGCCTGTAGAGCACCTGGCCAGCTTCCGGGCAATGCCAAATATTTTGATGCTTCGTCCTGCTGATGGCAATGAAACAGCTGGAGCATACAAAGTTGCTGTGGTCAACAGGAAGAGACCCTCCATCCTTGCCCTTTCCAGGCAAAAACTGCCCCAGCTTCCCGGAACTTCTATCGAAGGAGTTGAAAAGGGTGGTTACACCATTTCAGACAACTCAACAGGCAACAAGCCTGATGTCATTTTGATTGGAACCGGTTCCGAGTTGGAAATTGCTGCCAAAGCTGCTGATGACTTGAGAAAGGAAGGGAAGGCTGTTAGAGTTGTTTCCCTTGTTTCTTGGGAACTTTTTGATGAGCAATCAGAAGCCTACAAGGAGAGTGTTTTGCCTGCTGCTGTTTCAGCCAGAGTTAGCATTGAGGCAGGATCAACATTTGGGTGGGAGAAAATTGTTGGAGCCAAAGGAAAAGCAATAGGTATTGATCGATTTGGAGCTAGTGCTCCAGCAGGAAAAATATACAAAGAATTTGGTATCACTAAGGAAGCTGTTGTTGCTGCAGCAAAAGAGCTTATCTAGATGTTTTAGTTTCTGCTCATTTAGAACTTTTCATTTTTTTCTTCTGGTTTTGGTTGATATTTACAAAGAGTGGGGGTTGTTTCAAGAGCATTCCGTGGCTTGAATAAGTAAAGGTTAAATATCCTTTTATTGGGGTTCAAAGTGAAGAAAAAGCACAGATCAAAGATTTTGTGAACTTGTAATAACTATTTGACAATTGAGTTTTGCACTGCCACATGATTAAATTCAATTGCTAATACACTCATAGCATTTGTTCATTTTCCAGCCAAACCAAGTCGAGAAAAGTTGTTGTGGATAACTTTTTTTGTTTGTTACTTACTTTATGAAGTATTTTTAGGTTGCTAAAAAAGTATTTGTTTATTTCCTATTTAATCCCACGGATTTTACATAGAATGGGCCTATTTTATTAGGGACATTGATTTTTCCACAACCCTTTTTTATCTTCCCATCTAACATTTCTGTTTTAATTAAAAAATTCTATTCTACGTATTTTTTCTCTAGTTAATTATTCATATATTGTCGGTGTAAAATTTTTTATACCGCCAATTAATCATATTTTTTAAATTATTTTATTTTATTTTTATTTAATTAAATAAACAAATAAAATGACATTATTAAAAGATATGATTGGTTATCGGTGTAAAAAAGTAGTGTATAGGTAATTAATTTTTTTTCTTCACACTTTTCTCAATTTAACCGTTGATTAGTTAGTGTACAGTAATTAGAAAAAAGAGATAATGTAATGAATGGTTCAGATATTTGTTATGGAGATATGTTGCTTTATCTATCCCCTTTTCTTCAAAATGTTTGGGTCTGTTTAATTTGCTAAAAAGTTATGTCATGGGACAAGTCTCACTTGTGATTACAAAAAAGTTAAGGAAAATAAAGTAAGTCAGGACAACTTTTTTATTTGTTGTTACTCAATAAATCATAAAATAATTTTGTTTCAATCACAAAATACTAGAGTAATAAAAATATTAACCACCATCATCATAATTATTTTTTTTATCACTATTTTTTTTTATCATTTGTCATTTATTAATATTGTTATTTTTTATTATCGTTATTATTGATCATCACTCACCATCATTATCATTATTCTTGTACTATCATTATTATTTCGACCTTTTGTTGTCATCTATCATTATTATTGTTATTATCAACATCATTATTTTATATTATCATCATTATTAATCACTACTACTACTATTTTTTAACATTAACATCATTGTTACCAATTACCATTTCATCTTTATCATTACTTTTTGTTATCCTATCATTTTGTTTTTATTTATTATCGTTTGTTATTATTATCATTTCTGACTGTTCAATCACTATAGTTGTTGCTGCTCATTATAATATATTAAAAAAGGGGTTTGCTACTCTCACTTATTTTTTAGTTGGAGTATGTTAGCAATTTATACAAAAATTTTAGAACAAGAAAATCACTCATTTTTTTTATTTGGTTAATTTATATAAATGATATCATAATAATTTAATTTAAATTTAAAAGAAAATAAAATATTTTTTCTCGCTTATTAACTTCATTCTCCAACTAATTTCTCTCTTCTATTAAATTTCTTCTTCAACTCATTTCTCTTTCTTATTAAATTCTTTTTTTAACTCATTTCTCTCTTCTATTAAATTCCTTCTCCAATAGAAAAGAGAAATGAGTTGAAAAAGAAACTTAATAGGAGAAAAAATGAGTTGAAATTTAATAGAAAAGAAAAATGAGTTGAAAAATGAAGTTAACAGAAAAGAGAAAATATTTTTATTCTCTTTTAAAATTAAATTAAATAACTATAATATCTTTTATACAAATTAACCAAATCAAGAAAAATGTGATTTTTTTATCCTAAAATTTTGATATAAATTACTAACATACTCTAATTAAAAAATAGGTAAGAGTATATCAATAATTCTCATTAAAAAATATCTTTAGAATAAAACTTTTACACTATATTTGATTAGTATTTTATGATATTAAAAATTAAAAATAAATATATTTGATAAACGTTATCTCTTGGGTTGGTGAGACAGAAACTGTCTGCGTCTGTGAGTTCCACTAATCACCAAACCAACCCACTCGTCAAACATTAACTTCTTTTTTTTTTTTTTTCGTCTTCTAGTTCTATCGATTTTTATTCAGTTGCTACAACTTCCAGCAAGTGAAAATTAGTCAACTGAGGCATATTATAATAGCTGTTGTTGTGGTTGCATTCGAATCTTTGTGAATCTTAAACGATTTTATCTTAAATGATTTTAAATTATATACATACACATTAATATATTCAATTAATTTCTGTAAAAAATACATTTAATTAATTTATATATGGTACTAAATAACAATTCTATATGATAAACTCAAAATGCGTACTCTTGAATATGAATACCAATCCCACACATACTATATTTATTACATGTCCACGCATGGGTGAATGGCACTCCTACACACCAACTTTACCAAAATCCTAATACTAAAGGTAGGTAAAGTTCCTAACCCCACACCAACTTTTTCACTCAATTATTTGGTGTAAGCTATGCAATTCGACATGTGTTAGTTGGCAACCAAAACCCCTTTTATGTGACTCAATCCAACAACCACACGTACCACCAACCCCCATAGCCAGTTCTCACAAAATCCCTCATTACACACATTGTCAAAAAAATTAAAAAAAAAAAACTCTCATTGCAAAGAGAGAAGCACTTTACAGAACAACGATCGAGTAACAAAGTTCACAACTTTGAGGAAAATTGAAATGGCTCAGGTGAGCAGAGTTCACAGTCTTGCTCAAAGCACTCAGATTTTGCATCATTCTTCCAACCCCAACAAACCCAAATCGCCAAACTCGGTTTCATTGAGGTCACGCCTTTGTGGGGCCTCTAAATCTCGGAGCCTGATACATAAAAATGGAAGCTTTATGGGAAATTGTAACGTGGGTAAAGGAGATTCCGGTGTGTTTAAGGTTTTTGCCTCGGTCGCCGCCGCAGAGAAGCCGTCGACGGCGCCGGAGATAGTTTTGGAACCCATCAAAGACATATCGGGTACCATCACATTGCCAGGGTCTAAATCTCTGTCCAATCGAATTTTGCTTCTTGCTGCTCTCTCTGAGGTGAAGTTTGTTTACTTATTTGTTTGTTTTTGGGGTTATGTGATTAGGAGTTGGAGTTTGATGTGTAGAGTGGATTTTTGGAAATTTGTTTTTCTGCATTCTTCAGTGAAAACGAGACATTTTTGTCCCATGAAGAAAATCGTCACGAAATTAAGTGGCTTATGATGTAAGATGAGGATAGAAATGTGTGTAGGTGATTTGAATGGGTAATATATTAAAAATCTAGATGGATTTGGACGTGTCTCTAACTATGGCTTGCAAAATACTTCTTAAAATCAAGTGAGAGTATACATAATCCCAATCACTAATGTGAAAATCAATGGTTGATATTCCAATACATTAATGATTTGGAGTGTGGTAATACATTTGGGATCTTATAAGTGTTTTTTAACCGGCTTTTAAGCCAGTTTGACCAAAATCAACTTGTTTGGTATGATGACTTATTTTAAGAGCTTATAGCTTATTTCCATAAGCTAATTGAAGTATCTTATAGCTCATCAGTGATTAGCTAATTTTTCTAGCTTATTCATTTTATATTAATCAGCTAGCTTATCGGTTAATCTTACCAAACACTTTTAATTCAATCAATTGACTTATAAGTTTCCTGCTAGTTTATAAGCTTTCAGCCAACTTATAAGCTAGTTTTACCAAACACACCCTTGTTATTTATATGTATGTAAATGTAAAAATGACGGTTGATTTTCTCAGCAATGTCTGAGATTATTTACTTTATTCTGTAAAGTGAGTTTCTTACTTTATAGGAGCTGGATCCATTAGGTGAGAGTGTGAGAGGATTAGAGGATCTGTATCTTGGATATACAATCAAAATCAACAGTCATGATTTGATTTGAGCAAAACAATCTTCGAGTCTTGATCATCCAAATATTAGCATTAGAAGATAAACCCATCCCCAAAACACAAGTTGGAATGGTGTTTCAAGTTTCTATTATTTTTACAACTTTTAATTACTTTATACATGCCTTGTTGGGCATAAATTATAAATTATTCTGTTATTTCATTTAGGGAACAACTGTTGTAGACAACTTGTTGTATAGTGAGGATATTCATTACATGCTTGGTGCATTGAGGACCCTTGGACTGCGTGTGGAAGATGATCAAACAACCAAACAAGCAATTGTGGAGGGCTGTGGGGGATTGTTTCCCACTGGGAGAGAATCTAAAGATGAAATCAATTTATTCCTTGGAAATGCTGGTACTGCAATGCGTCCTTTGACAGCAGCTGTGCTTGCTGCAGGTGGAAATGCAAGGTCTGTTTTTTCTTGTGTTTATTCATTATGATCTTTGAATTATTCCTCGTATAACTAATCACAATGGATTACGCATTTGTCCTCCATCCTGTTATAATCTAAAAATCTTGTCCAGATTAGTTACCCACTCTTCTTACAAGGAACCTTTAATTATGTATGTATTAAATTAACATGTAAATTTGTTTGTCAGAGTCTAGCATTTAGATAGAAATATATTGATTATATTCTGAGGAATGTGCCTGAGGGTCTTCCTCATGATCTACTGCAACCTCACCATGTTCTTTTTTTTATAATTAGATCTTCTATTATGATTGCCGGTTTGAGTTCTAAATAGGCCATTTTGATGTTCAAAATATTTCAGCTACATACTTGATGGAGTGCCCCGAATGAGAGAGAGACCAATTGGGGATTTGGTTTCTGGTCTTAAGCAGCTTGGTGCAGATGTTGATTGCATTCTTGGTACAAACTGTCCACCTGTTCGCGTAAATGGGAAGGGAGGACTTCCTGGGGGAAAGGTAATGTTTGGATTTCTTTTAGAATAAGGTGGACATATACATTCTGGGAGCAAAACTCTAGTTTAAGGAGCCTCCGCATCTCCTTTTCTTTAGAATAAGATACTAATGCTTTGTTTGGATGAGGAGTGATTTAGAAAGGAAAAAAAATAGGAAGGAATTAAATAGGAGTTATGAAATAGAGGAAAAATAGAATGGAAAAGTTATGTTGTTTGGATGGATAGAAATAAGAGGGAAGTGAGAAAATTTCTCTCTGCCTGTTTAGAAGAATGGAAAAGAGAGAAAAAAATATATGAATTATATAAATATTCTTGTGGGTCCTGTGAAAATAACATCTTTCCTTCCTATTTCTTCCCTCAAACAAACGTAGAAATTTA